AAAAAAAAAAAAAAAAAACCACAACAAGAACGATATGATCATTTTAATCCAATGTCAAATAAACAAAAATCTAGATCTGTCAATTTTTTAAAAAGTTTAATCACATGATAAAGTCTGTAAAAAAAAAAAAAAAAAGAGCTAGTATTGGTATTTAAAACGCAGGCCCATATCTTGCCACGAGTAGCTGTATGTTATGTCTGGGCCATCGCCGCCCATGGAGGTCCCCACTAAACCTTGGCATGACTAATAATTCTACGTGTGGTCATTAGCTGGACATTCAGGGCATCTTCCGCCAGTGTAAATTGTCTGTTTTGTCTTTTTCTGTAAATAGAGACACATATCTTTATTTTTTAATTTTTTTTTAGGTAGGCTCAAAATCATCGGCTCAATCTAATGAGCACGTCGTTGGAGTTAAGGGTAATATTAGCACGTCGTTGTAGTTAAGGGTAATATGGGCACGTCGTTGGAGTTAAGGGTAATATGGGCACGTCGTTGGAGTTAAGGGTAATCGCACGTTTTAATTTAGGAGGGAATGCATCCCTTCTAGGGAGTGGGTAATCAACCATGCTACGTAGGAAGCAATCATCCATTCCAATTCGGGGACATCATCCATTCTAATGAATGGGGGCATCATCCATTCTAATCAGTGGGGAAACCATCCATTCTGGTTAGTGGGGAAACCATCCATTCTGGTTAGTGGGGAAACCATCCATTCTGGTTAGTGGGGAAACCATCCAATCTAATTAGTGGTATAAACTTCTATCGTTCTGCGTGTAGTTAAATAACCAATGAAATCAAAGCAGAAAAAGGGGTCGCTGTCACGTGATTTATGAGCCATGGATGGTGAGTGTGGCATCACACCCAAAGTATATCAGTTTTTTTTTAAAGAAGGAATGAGATTTTCATGTCATTTATTATTAGGCTATCATTGGGAGAAGACCATATAACGAGCTGTGTTGTTACTTAGTTCAATAATAGCAATGCCAGTATTTAAGGGCCCACTTACGATGCCATCATGCAGAGAAACACCAGGGGTACTAACAGCAGACAGGGCAAGATGACAAACAAAGCTCGAAATTTTTCTGCAATTTGAAAAAAAAAAAATGGAGAAAAGTAACAAGGGTTTTAGTTTAGAGATTATATGATTGATTGTGGCCCAACATCAGTTTAGAGATTAAATGATGTATAGTATGGGTAAGTATCGGTTTAAAACAACAGGGGTACTAACAGCAAAAAGGGAAAGAAGACAAAAAAAGCTAGAAATTTTTCTGAAATTTAAAAAAAAAAAAAAAAATGGAGAAAAGTAACAAGGGTTTTAGTTTAGAGATTAAATGATTGATGGTGGCCCAACATCAGTTTAGAGATTAAATGATGTATAGTATGGGTAAGTATCGGTTTAGAGATTATATATTTAATTATAGCCTGTGTTGGTCTGTCGATTTTTTTTTTTAGCCGTGCTTTACAAACTTTTCAAGATGACAACACACTTTTTAGTCATTGACCAGGATACCACGGGTGAAACTGAACTAACTGTAGACGTACAGGCACAGACGTAAAGTAACGCAAAATGTGTGACGACAAAACATATTCTCATGAAAACCTTTAATTTATATTTTAGATGCAGTTTTTAAAACACCCAAATCCTAAAAAAAAAAAAAAAAAAAAAAAAAAAAAAAAAAAAAAAAAAAAAAAAAAAAAAAAAAAAAAAAAAAAAAAATTTTTAAAAAACCCAAACCCAAAAAAAAAAAAAAAAAAAAAAAAAAAAAAAGCAATATCCCATCACTTTAAAACAAGAGTCGGCAAACTCGTGAGTCAAACGAGCAAAAAATCAGCGGAAGGACGATTTTAAAAAAAAAAATTTTGAGAGCTGTTGAGATCCGCTGGTCCTCATCTTTTGGTGACCCACTGGCTGACACTCGCTCCAATTCTACCCCACGTGAGATTGCGCAATTAGGCTGGGCCTAACAAGGGAAACTAACCTGGTAGCCTCGACCGTGACCCGACTGAAACCATGGGCTCATCTTAAGAAGCGTACCCACGCTAACCCTTACTCTATAAGGCAAGGCCCGACAGTACCCGCTATAAGGCAAGGCCCGACAGTACCCGCTAGAAGGCAAGGCCCGACAGTACCCGCTCTCTTTTACCTGTAAATTGCACAGAGAGCCTGGCACTGGCTAGCTATATTATGCGCTGAAGTTTGTGCACCCATCAAAGAAATTCACGTGTACGATTTTATTAAGAAATGATATTTAGCTGATGATTAATGATGCGATGGGATTTGAATGTCTTAGTTACGTCTTGAGTGTTACATGCTCTATTCTAATTTCTAGCCAGTCGAGTCCAGTGTAGTTCAGACTAGTCTAGCATAGTGCAGTCTAGTATAGTGTAGTCGTTCATTACACTGCAGTTGGAGTCAGTTGGTTAGAGGCTACACTAACGATTTTTTTTATTTATTTTTTTTTGAGGGGGGGGGGGGGGGGGGGGGAGAGAAAAGAAATTAGATCAAAAAATTAATTTTGCTACATTCCAACGTGCAAAATTCGTCAGCTAATGAGATCCGCTTTTTAGACTTCACATTGCTTCACAAATACTTATAATAAAAAATGGAAGCGATTGAAGTTGTCTTTATTTTAATATAACTTACCATTGGCAACACGTTGTCGGAAAGCTTTCTGAATTTATTCCTAGCATTTGTTTAGGTCCCCATAAATGAAAAAAATAAATGGGTATAAATATTGGCGTAAGTTATTTTCTCGAGACAC